GTCGTCACTTTAGAGTTCATCCGATTGACTATTTCAGTCTGTCGTCTTTTATCGTTTGAAAATATTGTTCACCTGGCTGCTTACGTCTTTAGATTGCCTCGAAAATTCCGAAGCTTCAAAGTGCTCGTTCTTTACAGTCTCATCTTTGTGATGGTGTTTTTTTGTCCCGTTCTTTTTTTATTATCTTTTGTAACATTGGTCTGAAGCAGACATCAATTTCTGCATGAGAAACAGCCGTTTTTTTGTTCCTCGTCCACTTTAAATTCTTATGATTTCCTGCGCCGATTAAACCATTTATCAGATATAACAGCACCTCACATTCATCAGCCATGCGGTCTTAATCCTCCACATACCTGTTTCTTTGCAAGCACTCTTTTTGCCTAAGCAGTTTTTCTTCCCATTTCAGGATGAATTTACGCGCTGTATTGTTGGTTTCAATTCATATTTTCTTTGTTGGTAGCGTCCGGAAAGGTGAGTAATTTATTAATTTACTGTGCTAAAATCCACACTACTAGGGAGAAATAGACTGAAGATTTGGGCTGGAGAAAACTTAAATTTAATAATCATATTTTGTAAGAAACCCGTCTCCTGCGATTCGAATCATTCGTTTCGATGCCAGATGGTACTGGCATATGCCAAGGAGTCAAACTAGCCATCAGCTTGCAAGCAGTCCTTAAAAGAGGGAACTGTCGACAGCTTTGCGGACTGCTGCCATTTGCTATAACTCAGGCTACTTACCGAGTACCTTTTGCCTCTTGCAAAAAATTTAATTTAATTTTAAGTTGTTCATTTAACAAACTCAGTCCTTTAAAATTTTATACCCTACGCTGAGGGGTGTTGCATTTATGATTCCCACTCCAACTCGCATCGGATTATGTGGCTAAGGGATGAAGCAGGCTACAAACTTATGTGTACTTTGTAATACGTAATTTCCAATCATCTTCCTTGGCATAAATTTTATTACATGAAATTTTTTCCCCGGCCTGTCAAAGAGATTTGCTGTGCCTGTGACCAGATTAATACTGTAACTAATCTTAAAATCCGTATGAGCAAAACACTTTCATAAATGCTACTAATAAATATCAACATTATTCGTACTATCGTGTGAGGCTTCCTATGCTAATGAGGTGTGAACATACACGAGTTCCGGACTATCTGAAGCTTCCTCCATTTTGCACCCATAGTTTTTACAGATTTCTAATTGATTTATTCCTTTCTTCCAGAATCTGTTAATTGAGTGTTCTGTATACGCTGATAGCATTATAGTTAAAGGTTTTTCGACTCCAATTTCAAACTATTTCGTAAAATTACAATTTACAACCAATCTCAGTACAAAATTCAATCACTCGTTTCAATGGTAAATTGATTTCTAGCACAGACAGAGGAGACAAACGCGCCTTTAATTTTCTTTAATTAACCCTCGAAAAATAAGCCTATCAACACCCTGCGGATAGTTACTGTTGGCATTTGCTACTACTCAGATTATTTTCGAAGTACCCCAGAACAAGTGAATGTGGAAATTTTAACACTTTGCAAAAATATGCGAAAAGCGTGTCTTAGGACCATCGCCTGCGACCATTCTGGATTGCTCGAGACCGAATTCCAATGGTTTGTACGTGCGTGGTTGCTCCTCCAAATTCATGCGTTGCTATAATGGCAAGCAGTACGACTATACTTGTCCTAAGAAGCTCAAATTTAACGTCGAAACTGCAAAATGTGAACAACGGCGACAAGTCATTGCCTGCATCAATAAGTAACTGCTAATCCTTTCTTTAATATTAGCGCACGAAAATCAGGGGCAGTGATATTTTGTCCCTTCTGTGCCCACTGGGTCATTATTCTGCCTAAAAATAACCGATGTGTGGTGCTCCATCCATGTGAATGTTTCCCGTACATTATGAAGGACTGCTGTTATAAAGGTCAGGAGTTCAATTGGACCAATAAGTTTTCGTAAACAGGCACTGGCGACTAACAAAAAGTAAGTAACAATCGCTATCAGCTTATTTCCAAGCAATCTTTGAGAGACGGAGCCATCGACAGCCTTGCCAGCGTGTGGTTCACCAGCGATAAATGCATCAGTCGGAGTATTTCTGAGTGCTTTTGTCTCTTGCACAGGAGTGAGTACAAGGAAAGGGTTTAATGAATATTTGAAAATATGCTTTTTTGACTTATTTTTAATTTCCAATTTTGATTCACTGACTGACTGATAGCCCTGTTTCAGCATGGACGACAATCAAGTGGTCGTGAAGGCGGAGTAAGTTAATGATTTGCTAATATCCATTTCCGATTTGTTGAAGAACGAAAATTCTAAAAATTTTCTGGCCTGAAAAGTTCCACCAATTCTTTACTTGCAGTGAGCCATTTGACTGTTCCAAGAAAAAGGATGGCGTTTACGGGAGTGGAAAATGCTCCACCACCTATTATCACTGCTCGCGCGGTCATTCATCCGAGATGCTCTGTCCAGCTGGCTTGTACTACAATGACAAACTGAAGGGCTGTGATGATGTGGACAGTGTGGATGAGTGTGACGTTCTCACCGCATTACGGGGTTTCGACGAACGCCGTGAAAGCCATCTGGGTGAAGAAGGTCAGTATTTTCTGGTCTCCCGAATAAACAAAGAGGAAGTTATAAGAAGAAAGAATAGAAAAAAGAGAAAAAAAAAGGAAAAGGAAGATAAGAAATGAAAATAAAGAAATTTGTAATAAATTAGAAATTTGTGAGAATTTGTGAGGAAAAAAACTTTTCGTTCCTGATTTCGTCTCTCCTACTAACTCAACTGTGAGCTCGTCTGGAAGCTTCAAAAAAAAAAAAAAAAAAATACTTTGAGAATCGATCCTTTTCAGGAAAATACATCGAACGAAATCTGAGATATGGTGGTGGTGGCGGTGGAATGCTTGGTGGAAGTGGTGTCTTTGGTGGTGGTACACGTATTATGTCACTCAACAGAGCAAAAGGCAAGGGTCACCGTGGTGGCAAAAATCGACGCACACGACATGCCTTGTAAAAGCTTCCGCTTTTAAATTTAAATGACTTCTTACAACGATGAACACCTTGGGATGGAAATTAGTGATAGCTGAAGAAATCAAAGATGTCCTGGGTACTACAACACAACTTATTTCTGATTGCCAGCTCAAAAACGACCGTTTAATTTTGTTAATTTAGGTACCAAGCAAGCTTATGGAAACCAGAAAGAGGTAGGTGTTT